GGGGGGGGGGGGGGGGGTGGTCAATTAAGTATACACACATATACTCATGCATACCTACATACGTACACGCATACAGACTTAAAGTTTTAACTCTATTTTGAAATTGAACTTAGTTCGCACCAATAAAACGGCGACTCACCAAAGGGATCTTTCGCGAATATGTCTTGTATGGTGGGACGTGAAATCTTTTCAAAGTACTCGTCAGGCGACAATGCATTTGTTATATTAATGGTGTGAAATATTATCTCCGAGGCCTTTATCTCCAGTGCGAGCTGTTGCTTGAGATATTCTTCCCTCTGGGTCCGCAGGTAGGATCTTTCGTACACCTGTAGGAAGAAAAAGGTAATAAAACACTTAAATAAAACTGAAAAAGAGGTTATAGCGAAGCGCCCCGAAAAAAGGTGACTGATGGTTGGGTAATGGGTCAAAATCAGCTTGCTCTACCAACAGGTGCGTCAGCGTCAATGTTTTGTTATTTGGTTTTTGGATGACTTCAACTGTGGAGAGTTTTTCATCAAATGCATCCAGTTTATATTACCTGTCCTGGTTGTATTTCTGCTTGGATAGTTCCTGTACTCAAGAACTGCACGAATTCCCAGGGTTGTATGTTTGCCTTTAACGTTAGGAGATTTCCATTTTCATGAAGGTCTGAGTCCTGGTAAGACTCAAACTTGTAATGTTTAAACTGTAGAAAGAACGGAGAATAACGACAAACACGTCGATTTCGAAGGAAATTTGATGTAAAGTAAACACGCAAGTACAGAAAACCACCACGAGCTCTTGCAAATTTCAAAAGCTGTCTACCTTGGCATTAACTGCAAATTTTTGGAAGAAATTCTTGTACTCTGGGCGCTCGGGATCACAGCCAAGAAACAGCACAGATCTCTCATTAAATATTTGCTGCATTAATTCCACTTCAGGACCTTCAAGAGTGGTGCAGAAGTCTTCAAAGTACTTCTTGCTACTTGGCTGAAAATAATCAATCAAAATGAGGAAAAGCATATTCAGCATTATAGGTACATCAATAATTGAGAGTAATCAAAGGCAGCAGCGCAAGAAGAAAAGCACCAAAATAATTTTGCTACCGTTTGAATTTAATTACAGCTCTATGGGTTTTCAGTGCTACTTGGTTGAATGTCTGCGCACTCCGCGATGTATTATGACTACGACATCTTGAAGTGGCAAACGACCAACGAATGGGACATTAAATGCCTGATACTTACCAACGCCCGCACGTTAAAACCACAATCCCCAAAACACTTGATGATCAAATCTCTACGCAGATCTGGCCAGGACTGGGAGAGACAGGAAATCTGGAAGACAGTAAGTAAAGTAGTTGAATAACCCGTCGAATGGCACCAAGTGGCACGAAAGCCTATTAGTTCCTCCCCTTCTCACTTTGCACGTTCGTTCTATTATACAGGGCCTTTTTTCGTCTAGGTTGATATTTAACGGGAAATGGGCAACTATCTAGAAAGCTATGGCAAAAAGAATCCATCTTAAATGTTAGGATATAAGCCTGGCTGCAAATAATTCTCAAACGCGAAACCTTTCATACATTCTTAACCAGATTTGTAAACCAGCAGCAAAGTTGTTTGAAGCGAGATCATCAAATATCGCCTGGGATATAGAGACGAACAGAGTATAATTCGTTTCAGAGAAATGCCCAAAGTAAAGCTTTATAAGGGAAAATCAAAATAAGGCTGCAAACAAAATCACACTTATGTAAGAACTTTTTGGATCATAAGACCTCTACAAGGTTTGACACAGGAAAAACAAATACTTTGCAACAGATACATTTGAGTCGAATCGTCTTTCTTTTTTACCAACCTGGTCCAGTCGCAGTTTCTCGCCACCGTTCCCAGTCTTCCAGAGAAAGCGCTCTAGCAACTCGTCCATATTGGTGGTTATGATAAGAGGAAACTTCCCAACATTCCGTAGGGCATTGTGAACACGTGACGGTGCCTGCTGAAGATCTCTCAGAAACTTGTCTTCGAGATCGAGAAGTGCATTCGTGCCTTTCTGCAAATTAAGAGACACATGAAGAATTGTACCTTCATATGGGCAGCGAAACCACCAGCAGAATTCTTTTGAGCTCCTCGTTAACATCAAAGCTTGCTCTAGGCAACGTGTTATAATTAATCAAAATTTAAGAAAGGTTTTTGGTTATTTATCGTGGAAAATTCACTGGTAATTAAGTATCGTCGTCTGTGATTTACCATCGTAGCGTTTTCGCCTAAAGACGACTGGTACTATGCCACTGAAACTTCGCGATCTTCAGCGGAAGTGACTTCATTTTGAGAAAAACGATTATACCTCACGAGAGATAATTAACTCTTGCAATTCATTCATAACATCTTGGCTGGCTCCTCAACACTCCCTTCCTTCCCCGAGAGTGCATCCGGAGATACTCCGTTTACACCTACGAGGTGAGAAAACCAGCATAGTTTTTAGTCCTAAATTTTGTACATTATGCATGTCTGTCATCGCGTTTTCGATGCCTTTTGATGGCCAAGCAATTTTAAGATCATGTCAGCCCCTGGTCCATGCCATTACCAACCTCAATGAATTTCTGGATATGAGTCCAATGTCCTAATAATCTCACTTCCGGCTACGCAGTAGACATTCTTACCTCAGAATTATTGAGAATTTGCCACCAGTCATCCAATGAGGGGTCATGCTTATCCGTACTGACTAAAGTCGATACTTGCTCGCCAACAAAGAGCACGAGCTCTCCTTTTACAATCTTGGAGCGTATGGCTTCGAGTTCTTCAGACAGTAGTAAGCGAACATCTGACTTCTGCTTTTCCATTTCAAAAACTGGATGCGCAATTCTTGACCTAAAACAAAAGAGATGCAAAGCACTCAATGGCTCGACTCTTCCTTTTTCTTTGTGTGGAAACATGTTATCCGTTCAAATTTTAATTTTTTAAAACCTTTTCTTCGGTATTTGCCGTTGAATGCAGAACGGGAAAAACAGTGCTATGACTTTCAGAACACGAAAAGAAATAAATGTATCTCTAACTGGTCTATTCTTCCTCCAAGGGCCTTTTCTCACAAGCGAAAAAGTTGTTTATTTAGACAAATT